TGAGGGAGGAGAAAGGATGGAGAAAGAGTGTAGTTAAGAACTGAGTAAAGATGGAGTAAGAGTGTAGTAAGAGTGTAGTAAGGGTGGAGTATAAATTGGGTACAGGTGTAGTAGGAATGGAGTAAGGAATGGAGTAAGAGTGGAGTAAGGATGGAATAAAGATGGAGAAGGAGTGTAGTAAGGGTGGCGTAAGGATAGAGAAAGTGGAGTAGGAGTGGAGTAAGGATGGAGTAAGGATGGATTAAGAGTGTAGTAATGATTGAGTAAAGATGGAGAAGGAGTGTAGTGAGGGAGGAGAAAGGATGGAGAAAGAGTGTAGTTAAGAACTGAGTAAAGATGGAGTAAGAGTGTAGTAAGGGTGGAGTAAGGGTGGAATATAAATTGAGTACAGGAGTAGTAAGGAATGGAGTAAAGAATGGAGTAAGGAATGGAGTAAGGAATGGAGTAAGGAGTGGAGTAAGGAGTGGAGTAAGGAGTGGAGTAAGGATGGAGAAGGAGAATGGTAATGTGGAGTAAGGATAGAGAAAGAGCGGAGTAAGAGTGGAGTAAGGATGGAGTAAGGATTGAGCATAGATTAAGAACGGGTGTAGTAATGATAGCATGAGAAACAGAGCAGGAGTGGAGTAAGGATGGAGTAGAGATGGAGTAACGATGGGGTAAAGAATGGAGTAGGAGCGCAGTGAGGGTTGAGTAAAGATGGAGTAGAGGCGTAGTAAGGATGTGGTAAGGAGGGTAAGGATGGAATAAGGATGATGGAGTAAGGATATGGTAAAGAGTTGGGGAACAGAGAAAGAAGGACAGAGTAGTGATACCACCAAATAATAATAAGACCCTCTGAAAAACAAACAAACAACCAAACAAAAAACCATTTTCCCCCAAATTTGGGGCAAAAAACGCTGTTTTTGGGGGCAGCACCTGGTAACAGTGGTGGTGTTGGGGCGCTGGGTGGGCACCACGTGTCCCCCCCGGAGGTGCAGCCCCATTTTGTCAGCAGGGAGGTAAAGCTCTGCGTTCTGCTTGCGGAACGAGATCCTGGCTCCCTATTTGGGGAGAAAAACAGGGAATTTGGTTACACTGCACTCTGCGGGCCAAAATCCTCCATTTATTCTTTTTTTATTATTATTTTCCAAACCATTCTCCATTTTCCCAATATTTTTCCAATATTTTCCACAAAATTTTTTCATTTTTCTCCTTTTTTTCCCTCCATTTCTGTCTTTTTTCCCATTTCCCCCTTTTTTCCCCCATTTCCCCCCCCCACTTTTTCCCCCCATTTTTTCCTATTATTTTCATTTTTTTCTTCTGTTCATTTCAAATGTTTTCCATTTTTTTCAATTTTCCCCGATTCTTTCCAAATTTTGCCAATTTTTCCAATCTTTTCCAGATTTTTTCCATTCTTTCCATTTTTCCAATTTCAATTTCTTTCGATTTTTTTTCATTTTTTCTCCTTGTTTTTTCCTTTTCCCCCATTTTCCCCATTTTTTTCATTTTTTCCCCAGTTTTTCAACTTTTTCCATTTCTTTTTCAACTTATTTTTCCCATTTTGCCCATTATTTTTCCCATTTTTTCCAATTTTTTCTCATTTTTTCCCATTTTTTCCCATCCTATCCCAGTATTTCCCATTTTCTCCCAATTTTCAAATTCTTCTTTTTTTTTCCAAAAAACATTCATTTTTTCATTTAACACCGATTTTTTTTCATATTTTCATTTTTTCCATGTTTTTTGGTTTTTTTTTTACCCATTTTCCACCATTTTCCCTTTTCTCCTCTTGTCTTCGTTTTTCTATTTCTTCCTTTTCCCCTTCTTTTCTTTAAATTCCTTATTTTTTCCAACCCTTTCCATATTTTTCCATATTCTCCCCCTTTTTTTCCCCCCCAAATCTTCCATTTTTTCCTAAACTACTCCGATCCCAAATCCTTCTCCATCTTTTCATTTCTCAATGCTTTGACATCTGCAGCCACAAAAGGAAACCATCACAAATCCTCTGATAATGCTAAAAAATCAGGATTTCTCTGTGTTTTGTTACCAAAATTGGGATTTTTTGAGCTGTCCCACTTACGCACCGTTTCGTAATCGTACCACACAGCATCAGGGATGTATGCTTGGATCACCTCCACCCCCTGAAAGGCAAAAATTGAGAAAAAAAATCCTCCTGGGAATGCAGATCAATCCAAAATTTCAAAATATGGACAAAAAAACCCACAATTTTTTCAAAAATTTCGAAGCTGTAAGCAGTTTTAACCATTTTTTAAGCATTAGAACCACAGTCTTCCAAAATTTCTAATGCATTTTGTGAGCTCTTAAATACACTTTGAAAACGGTTTTCACGATTCTGGAAAAGATTTCAAACAATTTTAAACATTTCTTTGCACTTCTTTATGATTTTTAAACAATTTTTAAGCAAATTGAAATACTTTCAGCCTGAAGGAAAACATGGGAATTTTTTTAGAGAGGAGAAAATGAAAATTTTTAAAGAGGAAATAGAAATTTCTGAAGAGGACAGACTGTAAAATTCTTAAGAATGGAAAACGGAGATTTCAGTGGAGGGAAAATGGAAATTCCAAAAGAGAGAAAATAGAAATTTAAATGGAGAGAAAATGGAGATTTCTAAATAGGGAAAACTGAGATTTCTAAAGAGAAAAAAATGGAAATTTCTGTTGAGATCTGAATCGTGATCGAATCACATCAAGATCTGAAGCCCCAAATGATCCCAAATAATCCTGAATAATCCCCAATAATCCCCAATAATCCCCAATAATCCCCAATAATCCTGCAGACAAGAGCAGCATCACCTACTGGGTCCATCACCGGGGTGATGAGCAACGCAGGGCCCCACAGGAACTGCTTGTCCACGCCCCACGTGGCTTCATCTGAGTAAAACCTGAACAAATGAGAGGGATTCGTTACTGCTAATGACAATCAGCACTGGTGTAATGGGATGAATTTGATTGGAGGGACGTTGGGTTGCTCAAAACCCCAACCAACGCTTTGCCCCCCTCCAAAAAAACAACAACAAAAAAATTCAATTTCTTCCTTTCTGCTTTTCAGAAATGTACAATTTGATTCATAAATCCTGAAAATTTGGGAATTAATAAGGAAAAAAAGAAAAGGGGGGGGGGGAGAGGGGAGGATTTGGGACTGACTCGTGCATGAGGGGCCGTGCCACCGTGTCCCCCTGTGTGTGAGCTTTGTAGAAGAGGGTGTAGAGGTAGGGCAGCAGCGTGTAGCGGATATTCAGGTAATGGATGGAGGATGTCACCAAAATGGAGTCGGCGCCGAAGTAGGCTGGATCCTGGGGCTGGAAAGAGAGAATTGGAGGTTTTTAGGGTTTTTGGTACAAACTGTGGGGCAAAGAGCACGGTTCGAAACGTGGGAGGATGATTTGGGGTGAAATGTTGGGGAAATGGTGGAGAATGAGTTGGGTTTTGAACGGAGTTCGGTTCTGGGAAGATTGAAGTTGTGGAATTGACACCAAATATTCAGGGGAAAAGGGAAATTTCGAAATGGGAATTTCTGAAGAGGAGAAAATGGAAATTTCAATGTAGAGAAAGTGGAAATTCTGAAAGAGAGGAAGTGGAAATTTCACGGTAGAAAAAAATATGGAAATTTTGAGAGAAATTTCTAACGAGGAAGAAAGAGAAATTTCCAATGAGGAGAAAATGATATTTTCTAAAGAGAGAAATTTAAATTTCAATAGAAAATGGACAATTCTGATGAGAGAAAACAGAAAATTTCAATGGGAAGAAAACTGGAAGTCGCTCCAACTTCAAATCAGCTTCGCTGATCGGTGGTAGAAGTTTAATTTCACGATTTCATTCACAACATTGAGATGCAACGATGGAAACCGGGGGGTTTGGTGGCACTTACAGAGCAGAGTTCGGTGTTGTGGTTCCTGGAAAAGGGGTAAAATGCTCCCACCTGCATCCAGCGCCTGCACAGCTCCTCTGTTGTGTTCTCAAAGAACCCACAGATGTCAGCACCGACCTTAAATATGGAGCAAAAACGTGAAATAAAATAAGAACAAAGGCACCAAAACAAACATAAAAATATATGTATATATATGATTTTTTTTAAAAAGGATTTTGAAACTTGAAAATACAAATTTCAAAATCCAATTTTCAACACCTGATTTTCAAAACCCAAATTTCTAAACCTCAACTTTTGAAAACCCAAATGATTTCAAAACCTAAATTTCTAAACCTCAACATTTCAAAACCCAAATGATTTCAAAACCCGAATGATTTCAAAACCCAAATTTCTAAACCTCAACATTCCAAAACCCAAATTTCAAAAATCCGTTTTTTTTTTTCCCTACAATCCGAATTTCAAATTCCACATTTCCAAATCCATTTTTCAAAGCCCAAATATAAAACTCGGATTTTCAAAATCCAACGACCAAAACCCAATGATCAAACACGGTTTTCAAAACCCAAAGTTCAAAAATTGAATTTTCAAAACTCAGTTTTCAAAACCAGTTTTCAAAGCCCAAATTTCAAAACCCAAATTTCAGAATTTCAAAATCCGATCTTCAAAACCCAGTTTTCAAACTTCAAAACTTCAGAATCCAACTTTTCGAAATCCAGTTTTCGAAATCCAGATTCCAAAACTAAGACTCCAAAATGGAATTAGGGTGAAATGAAATGATCTTTGAAGGTCATTCCATGATCCAAAGATGTTCATACAGATGGATTTATGCGTATCAATTCTCACAAATTGGTTAAAAATCATTTTATAAAAAGCTAATTTCATACATAGGGGATCCCAAAGAGCCCGAATTCCAGAATTCCAGGGATTGACCACTTCAGCTGATCCCACGATGCTGTGTTGTCCCCCAACCAATGCCCTGAGTATTTCCCCGACCCCACAAACGTCGACCTCGAGAGGAGGAAACTTCGTTTGCCAGGAAACACAGTTTCGATGGCCCTAAAAAGCAAACAAACAAACAAAGATCCTTCAAAAAGGCAAAATTAGGTAAAAAAAAATCGAAGAATATTGATTTTTTGATATTCCAGAAGCACTTGCAGCTTTCAAAGCTTCCAAACTTTTCAATTCATATTTCAAGGTGAATTTCAAACATTTCAGTTCAAATTCTGATGCGAATTCTGAAGCATTTTGATTCCAATTTCAATCTGAATTTGAAAGATTTCCACTCAAATTTCCAGATGAATTTGAAAGGTTTCAACTCAAATTGCCAACATCCAGTCAAGTTTTCAAGGAACAATTCAAATTAAGAACAAAAAAAAACAAAAAAACAAAACAAAACAAAACAAAACCCACCTCAATTCTAAGATCAATTCAGTTTTTAAAAAATCCATTTAAATTTCAACTCGAATCCTCCAAAATTTAAATTCAAATTTTAAAAAATCAAATATCAATTTAGTTCGAATTTTAGAGCATCTCATTCAAATTTCAAAATGTTTCATTCAAATTCGAATTCAGATCTCAAAAATTTCAGTTTAGATTTCAAATTTTGCGATTCAGAATCGAAAAACTCATTTCCTATTTCAAAATGTCATTCAAATTTCAATTCAATTTATATTAATACTGCTAATAAAAACGACTAAAATCACAAAGACTTCACACTGAAATTCAAAATTCCAATTTTAGAACATTTTTCTTCAAATTTGAATTCGGATCTCAAAACTTTAATTGGAGACTTCAAAATCTGTGATTCAGATTCAAAAAATGTTTCTCCAATTTCAAAAAGGAATTCAAAATAAGATTTAAATTTCCTTCCAAATGTAAAAAAAAAAAAAAAAAAGAAATTAAATCTCAAGGATTTCAATTCAGATTTCAAAGGATCTCATTCCAATTTCATAACATTTTGTTCAAATTTCAATTCTGATCTCTAAAATTTCAGTTCAGATTTCAAAATTTCCACTCAGATCTCAAGATTGCCAAATCAGATTTGAAAAATTAATCTCCAATTTCAAAAATGAAATTTAAATATGACTCAATTTTGCATCCAAATGTAAAAAAAACACCTTTTAAAAAAAACCAACTGAAATCTCAAGCATTTCAATTCAGATTTCAAAGCATCTCAACCCAATTTCGAAAGATTTTGTTCCAATTCCAAGTCTGATCTCAAGAACTTCAGTTCAGGTCTCAAAATTTCCAAATCTAATTAGAAAAACTGATTTCCAATTTCAAAATGAAATTCAAAATATGATTCAGTTTTCCATCCTAATGTCAAAAAATGCCAACAATTTAAATCTCAAGGATTTCAATTCAGATTTCAAAGCATCTCAACCCAATTTCAAAAGATTTTGTTCCGATTCAAATTCTGATATCTAAAATTTCTGTCCAGATTTCAAAGTTCCCATTCAGATCTCCAAATTTCCCACTCAGAGCTCAAAATATCAAAACCAGACTTGAAAAACTGATCTCTAATTTCAAAATGAGATTCAAAATTCGATTCAAATTTCCATACAAACGTATGTATGTACACAAATACATAAATTTCCACACAAATGTATTCAGGCATATAAAAACAATTAAAATCTCAAGGATTTCAAAAGATCTCATCCCAATTTCAAAACATTTCATTCCACTTTCAATAGAAATTTCCTAACTTTCCATTCAGATCGCAAACTTTCCCATCCGGATCTCAAAATATCAAAACCAAATTTGAAAAACTGATTTCCAATTTCAAAATGCTATCCAAGACATGATTCAAATTTCCATACAAATTTTCCACGCGAAACTTTCTGTTCAGATCTCCAAGTTTCCCATTCAGGTCTCAAAATTTCCCACTCAGATTCGTGAAACTCACTTCCAATTTTTTGACAGACAATTGAAAACATGATTCCAACTTCAATTCCATTTTCCAAAGATTCCATCCCAAGCCCACACCCAATTTGCGTTCCTCGTTAATTAAAATCAATCAAAATTAAGGACGTGCTGTACTGCCCCCTTTTTTTTTGAGGGGGGGGGAGAGGAATTGTCCTTACTGCTGCGTGGAGAGGATCATGGAATATCCGTAGAGGTTGTGGGTGTCGTACTGCCGGCCCCACTGCTGCACTGCATCCATGCACAGCGTCTTGGAGAACAGCAGCCTCTCCACCACGTCTGCCAGCAGAGCCCCAATTAACTGCCGTGCCGCTAATTACAACCTCCTGCTTTCCAACCTATTAAATCCTCTTATTTTAAAACCTTCTACTTTTGAACTTATCATTTTTAAGCGTTTTCTTTTTCTTTCCTTTCCCTTTCATTTTCCTTTCCTTTCCTTTTTTCCTTTCCTTTTTTCCTTTCTTCCTCTCCTTTCCCGTTTTTTCCTTTCTTCCTTTGCTTTCCTTTTTTTTTTTTTTCATTTCTTCCTTTCCGTTCTCTTTTTTTCCTTTTTTTTCCTTCCTTTTTTTTCCTTTTTTCCTTCCCTTTTTTCCTTCCCTTTTTTTCCTCTCCCCTCCCCTCCCCTCCCCTCCCCCCACTGCAAACCTCTTCTTTTTAACCCCCACTCCAACATTCCATTTTCAAACCCTCCCATTCTCACTTCTCTCCCCCAAAACCTCCGTTGCCAACCTCCCAATTTTCAAACTTCGCGTTTCGACTCATTCGCTCTTCTTGTGACGCTCAACCGACAACGAAACCCCCATAAAAATTGGCAGCGAAGTAGATCTACGTCCCTTCCGTCCCCAAATTTGGAGTTTTTCACCCCAAAAATCCAATGGACTCACGGGGTGTGTATGGGGGGAAGTTCCACTCGTTCTGCTCGCAGCCGCTGCGGGATCCGGCCACGAAACTCGCCACCTCGTTCATGTCCTGCCAATGAGGAGCAATTAAAACTCATTTATTCCAACCCTCCCCAATTTCCAACCCTCCCCAATTTCCAACCCTCCCCAATTTCCACCCCCCCACCTCCCCAATTTCCAAATCTCCCCAATTATTAAACTTCCCCATTATTAAACCTTTCCATTTTCAAACCAATTTCCATTTCCAACACTCCCCATATCCAAGGCCCCGAATGGGGAAAATGAGAAAAATGAGGGGTGGGGGATAAAAAAAGGTCGATTTTATGTCGGAATTTCAGATCTGAGATTCGCTGCCCCAAAAATCGTCACGTGGGGGAGGAAAAATAATTAAAATGATTTAATAATGATATTAATAAAGTGATAAGAAGAAAAATACAATAAGGAGAGCAGTTATAAGAATATTCAATAGTAATATTAATAAAATAATTATAAAAAAATATAATAAGAAGAACAATTATAAGAATAATGTATTCTAACTACACGAAAGACTGTTTAATAATAATAGTAATAAAATAATAATAATAAAAGAAGAACAATTATAA